TTGCAACCTATTTGGGTGATTACATTATATTAAAGATACAGATTGCATAAAGAAAATGAATGAATGAAAGTAAAGATAAATAAATGAAAAACGAATAATAAATATGCATTCATTTATTTTTTTTTGCTCAATTTAAGAATCAAGAGTTAGCTAGCAGATTAGATTAACTGAGGGGCGCCATAACTTGTCAAATGTTGTTAAAGAAACAGTTAGTGATAATAATTAATATTTTGCCTAGTTATTTCGAATTTAATGCAAGTAAACAATACGTCTTTTCTTCATGCATCAAAAAAGGGTGGAGAGACATGTTTCCACTTTAACAGGATGAGATGTCTTGCTAGTAAAGTATGCAATAATCAAATTATTTAGGGCATTCTCACAACATGTGGATGAGATCCGCTGGTGATTGCTTGCACCTAATAGGTTTCTATATTTATAACCGCCTCAGAGGATATTAGAGGTCACATTGTTATTTTGGGGGTGACGGGATGAAAAGTTTAGGAACCACTGGTCTAAGTGATGACTTGTCTTGCACACAGAATTGTGTGCAAACTGTTGTCCAATCAAATGCTTGCTTTTACTTGTCGTAATGCAACTTTAATTTAAACAAACAAACAAAGGCAGCATACGAAACTGCCTACTACTCAGTAGGTACTGCCTTTGAATTTAAATGTACCACTCGGCCATTAGAAAAGTCTATACATTATGAATGGAACTCGAGCTGCGTCCCAAATGGTACACTAATGTTTATTTTTTTTACTAAGCGAAAAGTCAAACTGTTTCCCTAATGACGTTTGACGGTTGCCAAATTAGTGAAATAAATGACCAAACTACTAAATAATAACTGTCATGAGTATAACCGCATTCACCACCGGGAGGCGATATAATCACTCTAATCATGTATGTACAGTATAAATGTATGTATGAAAATATTTTGAGAGTGTAAGGAGACTGACTCAAGTCATTTGTGATGGTTAATGGGAGTGGGTGTGGCTAAAGGTTTATTTATTTATGAATGTGAAAATAACAATATTTATTAATAACTTCTGAGCTTACAACAGTTGCACTCTGTTGGCTGTGGTGTACGTGAAATCCCATTAACTGTATGAAGCAAAACCATCTTTATATAATAAAAGTTGTTGATGGTCACAAAAAATAATACCACATTGCAATCTCTCATTTAAATTCGACCCCAGAAATGTTTTTGACTGGTTTTATGAGATAAATTTTCATCACCCTTTTATAGTAAGCTGCAAAAATATCAAGAACACCAAGCGGGAAGTGAAGACTCATTAGCTGGTGTTGATTAACTTTCCTGTTTTCTCTCAGTTCTGACAGCATCTGAGGTGTGAATGTAGACTTGACGGGTAAAAGTCATGGAAGTATCCACACTACACTGAGCATATATGGGCTTGTTTTTAATGTGTTTTAGCCCAAATCCTCCATCCCTTCTCTACCGGAGGTCATTCACTGCCCCCCTGAGGGCATCGGTTGGTGGATTTGGGGAGGTTTTGTCGTTTTGGAGTGTCTATAAAACACTAACAAACTCAGCTCACCTGCTTCCTTGAAATACAGTGCATGTAATTCATGTGTCATCCTGATTTTTTCAGAGGGGATCTAGCAAGACCAGCTGCATTTCAGAGGGAAAGATGCTATTAATTGAGCTATATTTGAGTATCTGACTGGTTGTCTTGAAAATAATCTCACAGACAATTTTCACATTCTCAAAACTAGATATGTCAGACCCAACATGTTGTGGCAGATGCAGACGTGTTGAAATATCACTGCTGGTTTGAAGCTAATTTAACTTGAGATTCACATTCATGCTAGCATCCCACCTGTAAACATGTATCATGCTATAAACACACTGTGGTACTGTGATACCTGCGTGTAATGTTATGCTTAATACGTACCTCTTCTCCTTTCATCTACTTTTTCTTCTGTACTATATAATCTGTTGTTTGCGTTTAGTGTAGCACAGAATAAGTTGGTTGCTCATTCAGCAGCGCTAGTTAATTGGAATGCCCTGTTAGTTGTGTTTGGCCAGTCGTATCCTGTTACTGATGAGGGGGCCCATCTCAATAATAGATATTATAGACAATGAAGCTGGAACACACACACATACACTCAAACCACTCCCTGGCCTTCATCTCACACCACAGCCACAACAAAAGTGATGCGAGATACAAGAATGCTAACATGAATTGACACAGTTTGACAGAGTTGACTACAGGCTTTATATTATCTGTAATGATTTCGATGACAATGCAGCGTGTCACACTAGAATGCTATTGACAACAATGTCTATAGAGCAAGATTGTGAGTGGTGGTGCAATCAACCACAACGTTTCCATTACTGACTAATATACTGCTAGAATGCTTCCTTTTTAATAAGTGAAGCTAAATGCTACGACAAAAAAAGGAGCAGTTTTTACATACGACATAGTGGCATTTCATGATTGCAAGTGTAGGCTTAATCCATTACAGCACCAAGAACTGTGATTTTTTTTATATTTCCTAATGTGTATACATTACGAAAACGTACATCATATAACATCAATTACAATTAAAGTTGTTGGTGAAGTTTTTTGCTTTTTATTAGGAGTAAATTCTTAATCTTAACTTTACATGCTACAAATGTTTCATATTAACTTATACATGCTGCAAAAAGAATGATTTAATTTTATTGCAGGCAATTTTATGGTAATACAGTATATTATCAATTAAACTTAAGCAATTCTCACCAAAAAGCTTGAATACATAGTGGGCTCTATTTTAACGATCTTGCCTCAAAGTCTAAATCGCCTGGCGCATTAAGACTGTTTCCGAATCGACTTTTGCTATTTTAAGGACGGAAAAATACACTCTGTGCCCTGTGCCCTTATGGGTGTGTTTTGAGCATAATGTGGATAAAGCCAATTGTCAGTTGCGTCATGTCATGGCGCATTTGCCATTTAAATGGTGGACTTTGTAAGTGGAAAAACGGAATGCTTTACTTGAGAGAAAACAGTTAAAAAGACCATCTACAGTGCGAGCATTAAGAACGAGCCTCCTCTTTTCGGCCTCTTTACTTTCTTTTTACTTTACTTTTACTCTTCTTTACTCCTTTACTTTTGTAGTGTTTACTTCACAGTGTTGATCGCACTACACTGAAGACATTTATTAGCCTACATATTAACTTTAGTTTGTAAAGCACAAAGATTTCTTTCTAAACTATTTCAAAATTCAGTTCTGATTTACAGCAAATGAACAAATGAACAGTAATAACGAAGTGAGGTCAAAAAACTTTTTAGCAAAAAAAGTTAGGAAACGTCCTATTCATATGCCCCATATGGTGATGCATACATCTCAAATCCGACAGAAGGACAAATCTAAACTTGTTTTTTTAAGACAAATATAAATATGCATATAATAAATAATGCTACTAGTAATAATAACATTATACAAATGTAAATTGTCATGAATAAACTGAAAAAGCCCCCCAAGATGAGGCATGGAGCCAGTGTTTTTTATATTTATGTAGAAAATAATTTTTTTGTAACATTTCAATCCTTTAATTGTTTTTATATGTAAAGATATTTGTGTATTGCTGTACATCCTGCAATGTGTAAGCATTTGGCACAAAAAATGCACTCTGTGCTGGACTTTAAACCAGCTTTTATAGACCAGAACACCCATGAGTCCACAAAGTGGAGTAAATGGATTTGCTATTTAAACGATTTGGCACAAAACGTGAAAATTACTGTTGCGCTGGTCTGAAAGTAGCAACAAATTGTGCCAAAAAAAACTTGTGCCTTATTGCGCCGGCCGCCGGGTATATGATAGTGCCCAATATGACTATAAAGATTCTATTGACCTTATTCTTCAATGCGGAAATGCGCTTGTTTTTGCGATTGATTTAGAACTTCCGATTCGGCCTATGGGGGAAATGACTAGGAATAATAAACAGCAGAAAATGGTCAAACTACTTGCTCTACAAACAAGCGTTTGCATGACTACAGACATAATGTAATAAATATCAGTTTGCAACATTAAGCAGCAAAACAAGCTGTTTTTTGTCTAAACATGAATGGAAGTAAATGAGACCGGAAGTCTTGAGCCAAAAAGATTGAAATGGTTGCGCCCATTCGTACACAGAGAATAATAGCCTTCTCTTATAAAAAGAAAAGCGATTATTTCAGTTAAACCATGACAACCACTTATCAGCCATGGTTTTACTGGTTATACAAATTGTAAATTATAATCCAAAAACAGTTACTACATTTTACTTTGATTAAACAATGATTCATTTAAGGATATTTTATGTGAATGTTCAAGACAGATCATAACAGAAAACTAAACCTATTCTGTTTTTACAAACTTCTGTGTTTATGATTGCGGTAATAAATCAAAGCGCTATTGTAACATATACTATTAAGTATAGTGTCCAACAGCATGACACCGGAAGTCTTGCACATTCGATTTAATAATGGCTCGCCATTTCTGGCTTGTATTAAATAATAATTCGAGAATAGCATTATGTAATCACTTCTGAATCCAGTCACCGTCTATCATAGTGGTGCGATGACAAGCACACGCATTCATCAGCGTTGATAATAACGGCGATATTTGTTGTCGTTTAGTTTAATGCACGGTGTCAGTCAGAGAGCGAACACGAAACCACAGGACAGCTGTTTCCCGCGCGCACTCCCGCTGTTTCTAGGGAAACTGCTCGTCAACCTGTTGCTCTCCGTCTCTTCTTCCTCCTCTTTCCCGTTATGATGCTATCACCCTCTCCTTTCTCTCAACGGCGGTATGAGGTTTCACTTTACGACACTCACTTGTTTACTTTCGTGTAATATTATGCGCACTCGCCCATTTTCGTTTTTTTCACACTTTACATCCCCGCTCGCAAACAGGCAGCGTCCCGTTTTACAGTACTACGTACACGCGCATATCCTGTCTCACACGCGCTCGTGCTCGTTCCCGTTCCTCGGTTCATTTTCCCTTCTCTCCTTCTGTCTGTCTCTTGAGCTCCGTCTGTTTCACTCTTTCCCTCATCCCACATGGACTTCTCTCACACTCCTCCTCATAAAACTCTATCTCATTCTCTTTCTTTATCCGTCTGTCTGTCCTTTTATTCTTCTTCGTCGCTTATGAACACAGGAATATTCTGACATGCTGGAGATGAGTTTAAGGTACAGTTTTGCTGGTGTAGTTTTATTTTTGAACTTATTTTAAGTAGTCGTGGTGAAAATGGTGTGTGGAATTGCTTGAATGAAAGTGTTGAGTGTATAAATGGCATAAACAAGTTGTTATATCTTGTAAGTTTGCTTCTGAAGCATGATATTTACATTTAATGCAGTGCACATTTCATTATTTCCAAATGTTTAAGTGTGTGACAATCTAATACACTTGTGAAGACATTGATAAACAGTAACTATCTATCTATCTATCTATCTATCTATCTATCTATCTATCTATCTATCTATCTATCTATCTATCTATCTATCTATCTATCTATCTATCTATCTATCTATCTATCTATCTATCTATCTATCATTTTAACCTTTATTTTTAACCTTATTGTACATTTAAAATTGAATTTGTCACACTATTAGAAAATAATGTTGACTGAAGTTACAGATTGTCAGTTTGTGTTTTTAGACTTTGCAAAATTTGCAAACATTATTGAGTATTTTTATTTATTTCACAGTAATGCTTATTTTGCCATTTTTTTACACATGTGGTTTTCATGACCTATAAATAGACTACATGGATTTTTTGTCTGTAAATATTAATTTTACACTATTTAAAAAGTGCTGACTGTCTAAATATAGCAATTCATATATTATCTCTTTGTTTTGGAGAATGTTTGTTTTTTTGTATTTAATATGATGATGATGAAAGATTGACAAATTAACTGCATATTTACACAATTGCAAACAAAGTAATATTTTTGCAGATGTCACATAATAGCATGGTCTAAACATATAAAAAATTACACATTAATTTTGCATTACCTAGAAATTGACTACATTGAAGCATTTTTACCTCTAAAATTTAGTCACAAAAATGTAAAACATAAAAGCTTGTTGGTTATTTAAAATTAGACAGTACACTCTTTTTGATTGGCAATTTTTGTAACAGTTGAATATAATAATTGACATTTATGTGACATTTTACTATTTTGCTTTGGTAAATGCTTTTTAATATTTAATATTGACAATGATAATATAAATACATAAATATAGATCTCACCGTATAACAGGGAGGTTTGACATGTTTTTTTTTTTTTTGCATTATATATTTACAAATTCACAGATAATGTTAAAGCCATTTACGTTCAACCCTTTAATGTTTGCCTAATAGGACATTTATTAGTATATATATATATATATATATATATATATATATATATATATATATATATATATATATATATATATAATAGGACTTTTAGCTTGACATGTAATAAATGATTTTTATAGTCATCTAAAAAATTGTATATGTATATATGCAGTTTTTATTATTTTCAGAACATAGTCACATCTAGCCCTGTCACAATAATAAATATATTGACTTATCGTGCAATACTTGGAGATCACCTAAATAAATTTTGCCATTGGTGTGTATATATTTATAAATTCACAAATAATGTTAAAGGCATTTATGTTTTACCCTTTGGTTCTTCCTCACCGGTGTCAAAGTTTATAGTTGGATATTTACTAATACGATATTTAATAGCATATAGTAGGACATTTACCTTTTTAACATTAAATTATAGACTCTAAATAATGAAAAGTATGTTAATGCTATTTGCAATATTATGCTGTTATATATTCATTATATAATCAGTGGCATTAAATGACCTCAAAATGACAATAGTATTGCTTATCGCAATAAATTCTATGACTATATCGCACAACTAAAATTCCATATGACAGACCTAGTCACATAATTAAACAAACACACTTTCTCCTATACATCTATCCTTGATGCACACATTTGTATGCGCATATTATGCATCAGTAATGAGACCGAATTCTGAAATTGCTGATGGCAGTTAGAGATTTTTAATAAGTGAGCAGTTTGTACTGATTAAAAGTAGCTTTAATGCTTTGCACCATGAACTCCATCTGTTGATGAAAGTCTCTGTTGAATTCAGCCCTACAATTTCATATGGTTCCAGTGTACATATACAGCAGCATTATATAAAAATGTATGTTTACAAGCATTAATATGTTAGGATATTGTTGCAGTTAACAGCAATCTGTCCTATACTATGTGAGGGTACATTCAACAAGCTGCCTTCTGAACACACTGCACCTGCTTTTGTGTATATAGGAAGATTATTAAGAGGCTGCTCTTTAGATTGGAAAAAAAAATTTTGGCAATAATTTGTCTTGTCTTTGTAGGTCAGATATGTGCGACAAGCATTGCTGTGTTTGTCTTGATCTTTAATTATGAAAGATTCACAACTGTGTGCTCTGTGGTAAACAAACCCAAATAAATGAGACAGTTCACATTTGTTTTCGGTCTTGCGAATACGTCATTATTTGGAGCAGAACCTGCGTTTTGCGCTCTGCGCATGGACCGTCAAAATAGAGCCCTGTGTCTCGTAAATTATTTGCGTTTTCACAAATGAATTTTCTCCCTATGGTAACAAACCCAAATGCTCACAAATAGGTCATTATGTGACGTAGTTTGCAAAGGAATTAACCAGTTATTGTTTACATCAATGATATGCGTCATGTAATTTTTATATTGGGATATTACTACGTAATATTTCGTTAAACTCCAACTAAATGACATAAGCTTTTAACACATCATAGACATTGTAGAGTAAACACCTGCCTTTTCACATTATCCAGAATTTATCATTATTATTATCTTTTTGATATTCGATTTTGAGAAGAAAATAACACATTTACTGTAATACACACTGTTGGCACACATAGACGCACACATGCACAGTTGCCAGTGTGTACAACCGTGACAGTGCTGTTGACACATTGCATATTAGTCATTACATTTAATCATTAAGTGCTTTTGTTAAGATGAGACACTGCAGGCAAATCTGTCTGGAGATTTTTGGCTTTTCATAAAATGTAGCTTTTTACTTGTAAGTGTTTGTGTTAATTTATAACACTTTATCAATTCATGTCTATAGATTTCAATTACACTACATGTTTTAAAAGGCTCTTTTCTCAAAATTAGTTATTTTTTTCTCCTCTGAGATATCTAGATCAGTCATAAATTCAGTTTTCATATTTATGTTCGGAAATTTTTCTGCAGTTGGATTTTCTCATGTTTATTAGCCTGGTAGTTTCAAACAGTTTATTTCTACACATTTTAATGGCTTTTGTTTTCTTAATTTTGTAATTAAAAAATCCCTAAATTCCCTCTGTAAACAACGGTGGACCAATAAGCGAGACAAGCAGCCGCTCAGGGCCATGGGGGAATTAGGTGGCCCCGAACAATGTCAAAAAACCTATATTAACCATTTTATAAATTTTCTACCATATGTTGTAAAATCTGTCTATAACCAATATGATTTTAACGTTATTACTTCTTTTCAAAACCAGGGACTTCCATGAATAATGTAACGTTACTTTCGTGATGCAAATGCAAATACTAATTACAAATATGGCTAATTAACTGTAGTTGGTTTGTGAGCTTATTTTTATTTTATTTTTATTTTTTTTCTGACGGCATGATAACCTTGATAAAAAATACCACGGTTTCACTGTATTAAGATTACTGCTCTAAAATAAGTTATTTTTTAATGTCTGGGTAAAACAAACAAGAAAAAAAAAATTTCCCCATTGACCACAATTTATTTTATTTTCAGCAGCATAATATAATAATTTGAAACAGTAAACACATCAGGCTAAATCATTAAAATAAATCATTAACCTCTGCTCTCTTCATTAGTTTCAAAAAACACATATTTCTTTACAACAACCACAAAAAATACATTAAAAAAACTTATTTATACCATGGGAACAGTATAAAAGTTTAGCTGTATTAAAACCTTGACTTTTCCAAACCGCAGTAAACCTTGAAACTGGTTTTCGTCCCATGCCTAGTTCCACTTAATATAAATGTTTTATACATATTATTCATTTATAACTTTTTTTTTTTTGTTTTTTAGACATTCAAACACAACAACTTACAAATTTGGTCTAACAAACATTCACAACACAATTGTCAATAAAACATGCAATATACAATTAATACAATGAGAAGTTTAGTAATAATAGATTAATACAATAATTAAAAAAATAATAGTAATAAATAAAAATACAGACCTTTTGTTTTAATATAAGTCCTAATCCTCCTTAATTCAATTGAACTATTCTTGCAGAATTTATCATTTAAAATAATCAATGAAAGGTTGTCAGATTTTTTTGTGCATATTTAACCAAAGAATGCCTCATTTGCATATTTAAACATACTAATATTTTAACCCTTATCTCATTCACTTTTAATGTTATTTCCTCAAATGATCAATAATCAATTCCTTTAATTGACCCTTTCATTTGCTGTTTAGGCCTACATTTTAAATGTCATTAGCTCAAGTCGTGCATTATTAAGGATAAAGATTAGTTGATCAGTCGTTTAAACGACAATCAATCATGGAAATTTGCAGAAACTGACATCCCTGGTTGAAATGGATAATAATTTGATTTTAGGTAAAAGGCGTTTGTAGTTGTTTAAAGGTCTGCTTTCAGATGCATGACTAGACGATGATAATAAAATAGCGAGAGGGTAAAAGAGGTGAATGCAGTTCCTCAGACAGACTAAACACATGTTCACACACTCGATGTGCTCAGCAGGACCCTCGAAGATAAAAAGCAGACGTCAAGAATTAATGCTCCTCCATCACCGTCTGAGAGAGTCAATCAGAGGAAATGATTTGATATGACGGCAGATGAAGGACGCAGTTTGTTCAAAGAGTTTCGACTCGAAGCTCCACGTTCCTTTGATGTATTACACGTATACTCCACAAATCCATTTCATAATCAGTGTTTGAGGCCAAACATTGTTTAAAAAGGGAGAAAAGGGCTATTGATATAAGCAAAGCAAACTGTTATTTAGTGTTTAATATTTATTATTGTTAGTAATTTAATTTGAATATTAAAATTTTTATTAACTATGTGTGTAAATGCTTATATATTTATAAATATATTCA